GCATGTGTGCTCCATTTTAAACCATCAAATCCACACAATTTCAGACATATTTTACAAGCAAACCCTGAAAGCCAGCTCAATGTTAAAATGAATAAATGATAAAAACTCTCAACAAAATGGGAATAGAGGGAACACACTGCAACATAATAAAGGCTACATATGACAAACCTGCAGCTAGCATCATACGCGATGGTGAAAAGATGAAGGCTTTTCCTCTCAGATCAGGAACGAGACAAGGATGCCCCCTCTCACTACTTTGTTCAACGCAGTGCTAAAGTCCTAGCCACAGCAATCAGATGAAACAAAGAAATGAAAGGCATCCCATTGAAAAGGAAAAAGGAAAACCGTCACTATTTGCAGATGACATGATCCTATATATGGAAAACCCTAAAAACTCCACCCAAAAAAAAAACACAAAAACTATTAGAACCAATAAATGAATTCGGTAAAGTTACAAGATACAAAATCAATATACAGAAATCTGTTGTATTTCTACACACCAACAACAAACAATCAGGAGAAATTAAGAAAACAATCCCATCTACAACTGCATCAAAAAGAATAAAATACCTAGAACTAAATTTAACCAAATAGGTGAAAGGCCTTTACTCTGAAAACTATAAGACATAAAAGAAAGAAACTGAAGAGGATACGTATAAACGGAAGGATGTCCCATGTTCATGGACTGGAAGGATTAATACTGTTAAAAATGTCCTTACTACCTAAAGCAATATACAGATTAAATGCAATCCCTCTTAAAATACCAATGGCATTCTTCTCAGAACTAGAACAACTAACTCTAAAATTTAGATGGAACCACAAAAGACCCCAACTAATCAAAGAAATCTTGAGAAAGAACAACGTGGGAGGTATCACACTCACTGATATTAAACTATACTACAGTATGGTACTACAATAAAAACATACATAGATCAATGGGACAGAACAAACAGCCCAGAAATAAACCCACACTTACATGGCTAATTAATCTATTACAAAGTAGGCAAGAATATATAATGGGGTAAAGACAGTCTCTTCAATAAGTGGTGTTTGAAAACTGGACAGACACATGCAAAAAAATGAAACTGGACCACTTTCTTATACTATAAACAAAAATACATTCAAAATGGATTAAAAACTTAAATGTAAGACCTGAAAACATAAAGCTTGTAGAAGAAAACATTGGCAGTAAACCTTCTGACATCAGTCTTACCAGTATTTATTTGGATATGTCTCCTCGATCAAGGGCAACCACAACAAAAATAAACAAATGGGACTACATCAAACTTAAAAGTTTTTGCACAGTGAAAGAAAACATTAACAAAACAAAAAGACAACCTACTAAATGGAAGAATATATTCTCAAACAATATATCCAATACCATGCTCATGGATTGGAAGAATTAATATTGCTAAAATGTCCTGGTTAATATCCAGACTATATCAGGAACTCATACAACTTAACACCAAAAAAAAACAATCTAACTAAAAAATGGGCAGAGGACCTGAATAGGCATTTCTCCAAAGAGGACATACATATTGAGAAAGTATGCTCAATGTCACTATTAGCAAAATGCAAATCAAAACCACAAGATATCATCTCACACCTGTCAAGATGGTTTCACTTATATGTGGAATCTAAAGTAATAAAACAAATCAAAACAGAAACAGACCCACAGATACAGAAAACAAGCTGATGGTGGTGAAAGGGCAGTGGGGTAAGTGGATGGGTGAAAAGAAAAGTGTATGATATCACAAATAAATGAATGAATGAAGAAATGAATAAATAAGTGGGAAGAGGACTCACAAGAACTTGAAGAGGCACTCACTCCAAAACAGGAAAATTTGACCTTCGAAAGGGAAGATCCCAAATGAATAAACTCATAAAATATTTTTAAATCCATAAATTCAAGAAAATATATTCTTAATCTGGTGATTATATAAATCTACATTTGTAATAAAACTACATAGAAATACACACACACACACACACACACACACACACACACAAATACTGGTGAAACCAGACGAGGCTAAGCGGGTTGGATCAACTGTCAGCTTCCTGGTTGCGAAACGGCCCTAGAGTCACACACGATGTCGTCATTGGAGGAGGCTCGGGGAAAGGTAGACAGGGTCTCTCCACACTACTTCCTACAGCTACATGTAAATCCACAGTTATCTTTAAATGTTTAATTAAAAAATATCAATTAGTCACTTTTGGAGAGTAGCAGGGAACTGATTCATTGTCTTAAAAGATGGTAAAGAATCAAGCATTGACCCTACCTTCCAACCTTTCCTATATGAACTGTACCAATGGTTAAGAAAACAGCAGGTGGAGGGGACCATCTCTACAAAAGTACCTCGACTCATAAATGAAACAAAAAAAAACAGCCCGCAGTAAACTCATTGATCTGGTCTAGGCACTGGGCACTAGCAGCAGGTACATCACAAAAGGAGGGAGAGGCACACAGTAGGAACCTGCTGGTGAAAGAACGTGCCCCTCCCGAAGGCCTTGCCACAGGGTTCAAACCCGTCTGATCAGACCGGTGCATCCGGCTGCCGGGCTGCAGGAAACGCAGAGGCCAGAAAACAGGGGAATCGCATGGCGAGAGAGCAACCAGCAAAATTCAGGCTGTGGGCAAGTCTACATGTTAAACGCCCTGGATTCTTCCAGAGATAAACTGTTCGGAAGACAGGGGAGAGGGGTGTGCCATGGAAGGGAAACCTACAGAGTAAGAGTCTCAGAGGACACGCGCGCCCTTTAAATGGGCAAGACCAAGTCACAGCCGTCCTGGGGTGTACAGCTGGTGGCACTGCTATGTATAAGGAAACACAGGGACACGTCTGCTTTAAAAGGCAGCAGAGTGGCCACTGTAGGGACAGACAGGAGCCATGGCCAGTGTGGGACACGGATGGGGCAGCTGCGCAGGGAGCGAAATTCTAACCCGACTCAGGCGGTGGTTCCGAGCGCGTCTGCCTTAGGGTAACTCATTTGCTTTGTGTGACTTCTGGTAGCTGTGTTTCATTTTACAATAAAAAGGGTTTAAATTTTTTTAAAAAAGGAACATCTCACTATTGTAACCTTACCACACATTTAAAACAATGACATTTATTTTTAAATAATTATATGAAACATTTAAAACAATTACATAAAGTAAACATTATAAAACAATTATATTTAAAATAATTGTGTGAAAGTAAACATGGTTATTACACTCTAGCTATTATAGCTACGGTAGCCTGAGGGAGGTGCCAAGGGGCGTATTTTCTGTGATAAAAAGGAGCCTAACAAGCATTAACGACCGGACAGCACCCACAGGAGACTGTCGTCGTGACTTAACCGGGGCTTGAAAGAGACCTGGAGAGGGACTTCAGCTGCCTCATCCCGCGAGTCAGGGTTATCGCACGCCTGGCCATAAGCCACCTTAACTCATGTCCTTTTTCCCTTAGAGGCAGCTCGTGCACGATCTCATCTCCTACACTGCTGGGAACACGGGGTTAAAAACAGGTCTGGAGCACGAGGGTAGTCAGACCTAAGAGGGGCTGAGAAAACAAACCTTAGCTCCCTCGGACATTAACAGGTCCGTTTTATTCCCCGACCCTTTCTAAGCACGCTTAAAAGGTTTGCTTTCCCATTGTGGGCACTGAAGCGAGTGGCCAGCACTAGTCAGTTGAGAGCTGCTTGTGCTGGTCCTGGCGACGGGCACACAAACACTTCACCAGGCACTTCCAGGGCCCCACGGAGCCCGCAGTCGGCCTCTGCCTTTCCACCTAACGCTTGTGGAGGTGCTCAGTGACGAGGGGCCCTGGATCCAAAAGCGCAAACACAAAACTCCGCGCAAAGGCCCTCCCCCATCTGAACTCCGTTATCTTGAAACAGGGACCACATCCTGAGCTGCTGACTCATCAGCACGAGGCCGATCTGACCTCAAAGCCCTTTAAAAAAAAAGAAGAGGGTATATCATATTATATAATAGGCTTGTAATATGAACTGGTAGTGAGCCGAGAAATCTGTGACAGTCTAAGGGAGCTCAGCCGTGTTTTTAAAACATTTATCTGAAACGCACACAGAGGAGAGCGAGTCTGCTTTGACCTCGTCTTTTCCCCCCACACTTGGCTACGTTCGTTTGAGAGAGAACACGAGAGCCGGGTCCGTGGAATTTCTCTGGCCCTGCTGCTCAGCAGAGAAGGGCGACGCTAGCACAGAAAGGCGACGTTCGGGCAGGAGTTGGAAGGGAACTTGAACGATGAAGGAAGATTAGAGCTGGATTCCTGCCCTCAACGCCCGTATCTGAATCCGACTCCCTCGAGTGGCTACCCCGCCTCCATTCCTCTCCCCACCAGCCTCTCCTGCCCTCTCTGCCCTCCTGGTTGTGTGAAGCCTCCCCTTCCCAGCTCACCCCCACTCCTTTCCTGCCTCCTGCTGAGACGTATGTGCAAACACCCACACATCCACGAACCCAAACAGACCTGGGTCACATCCCTGGACCCTCTGTGTGGTGGCGACATACCCCTGGGTGGAAGGGCCGGTCCCCTGGCTCGAGCTCCCATGATTATCCAGGACGAAGGGCCCTTTCACAAGTAACACTCTGATCACGTGAATTCACGATTACATAGGAAGCTGTCACTCCACACCACCACCTGACGGGATCAAGGCTTAAGAACGGAAGCTAAAAACCAGTCACATTTTAACCCGCCATTCTAGAAATGGCTGTGAGTAAATGAAACCCAGAAATGTCTAGAGCCCAGCTGCACCTGACTCAGCCCCACAGTGTGTTGCTCTGGTGACAGGACAGGAGATCAAATCAAACCCAACCTTTCAGCTACATCCTGAGCTGTGCCAGTGTCCTCAAGATAAGGTGCCCTGGCCAGTGGGCCTTTCTTCTGGGCAAATCTACAGCAACATGGGTGGGTGGTGGGGGAGGGGAGGGTGGCTTTGTCACTCAAGCCCTTTCCAACGAGCCGTAGAGAAAGACAAGAGCCTGATTCAACAGTACTTACTGCCTGTTGGATACCAGTCTTCACCTGCTCACTCAACATGCCTTCGAAGACGAAGGAGTCACCAAACTTCTCAGCCTGTAAGGAGAAAGGAAAGACAGTCCAGGGGAGGGCAGGGACGTGATTCACGGGGGCCGCTGTCTTTGCACGCTGTTAAAGAGGCTCCTTCTTGTCCAAGTAAACTGAAGTGTCTCTCGTGACTTCCCAGAGGACTCAGAAATGACCTAAAAAAGCATCTGGCTTCCTTTGAAAACAAGGGACTGTCACAGAGACCATTTTCAGTCAAGGCTCGTTTGCAGACTGGACGACATTAGCTTTTGAGAATGCAATTGTTCCTGTTGATGAAAAACATGTCCCTGAGTATTAGAAATGACTTTGGAAAATAGCCGTATTCTTTACATTTGAGATTTCACAATCTACCACTGTCCTTCATTCTGCACCTGGAATCCAGCTAAAAGAATTGCATGGTATTGTCTGCTGATAATTCTGACACATTCTGGCTCCACTAAGGTGTTAACCATGCTTATAAATGTCAAGCCTCGGATGGAACTGTATTTCAAGGGCTTTCTTCTAGCATTACTGCCTCAAGTCCGCACCTGCCTGGTTCTCTCTGTTCTGTGGGACCAGACACCCCCCGCTCGTGCCTTGGTCTCCATGACGCCGCTCTTCTAGTCTTCCTCCTCTTTCTGGTTCTTCCTGCTCCTCTCGTGAAAGCCACAGGCTCTTCCAGCCCCTAAACACTTCCTCCTCCACACCAGAGGCCCTCGGGCTTTGTTAAGTTGGGGTCACCTGACCAGCTGGTTACAGACCACACTGCCCCCCCTGCCCCCAGAGGCTGATTCGGGGGGTCTGGAGGTGAGGCCAGGGGCCTGCATGTGGGAACAGCTCAGCTGGGGTTTCTAACTAACACAGGCGGTCCAGAAGGTCAGCTTGAGATACAGGACCTACTGCTGGACAACCTCTTTCAGTCTCATCATTTGAATGACAGTCAGCACATCAGATGGCTCTCCATCTCTCCCTCCAGGCCAGTTCTGTCTTCACTGGATGGTATCCACTGCCTCCAGGATCCCTGTATTTCGGCTCCCACGTCCCGCAAGCTCCCGTTCCTGAATGGAGCGCACCACCTGCTCTCCCTCCTGTGTCCCCGTGGCACCACCTGGGCACCCAGGCCATTCCTTCAGCCAACACCACAGATCCAACACCTACCATATGCCAAGCTGTGGGCTACGTGACAGATGCGAGGTCGGTGTTAGACAGGCAGGGTCCCAGTCCTTCTAGCACTTACATGCGAAGGCACAGGCAAAAATCAAGTCAGAAAAAGAAAGCGAGAAAATAATTACAACTTCACTTGACCTTGTAAGGTAAAGAGTATTGAGAGAAGACTGCTTTGGATAGATTGAGCAGAGAACAGGTACATCTAAGCCGAGATGACTCAAGAATGAGAAGGAGCCAGCCATGCAAAACAGGGGACAGGCAACTCGAGGCGGAGGAAACATGGGCCCGCAACATGGGGAAGAGTGTGCAGCTTTCAAGGAACAGAAACAAGATCAGCCGGGCTAGAGCATGGTGAGCGAGTGGCTGTGACATGAAAGGAAGCTGGAAGGCGGAAAAGCTGTGACGTGTCGTAACAGCACGAAGCATCTGATCCAAAGCTGGGTTCTTAGCCCTTCGTGGGCCCTGGGCCCCTCTGGCAGCATGATGAAGCTTAAAGGAACCTTTTTCAGAATGAAATGTTTAAATGTATGAAATAAAATCAATATGATTACAAAGAAAACTAGTTATATCAAAATATTAATAAGGCAAATGCGTGCTACAGTAACATATATGTGCGCTTTATTAATATAACTGAATGAGAGCTAGTGGCACGTCTCCTAATTATCAATTTCTAAAGATGGGATGAAAACAAACTATCTCAAGATGTCTGCAGCAATAATAATGTGACACAAAGTGTCTGTGATACCCACTGGTGATGAAGCCATAGGTACTGCTACTGCTATGGTTGGTAGTCTGCTTCATAATTGAAGGAAATGCTAAATTTCAATGAAAATTAGTAAAAATCCAGATGTTATTTTTCCCCACCCCTGTTCCTGGATGCCCTTAGTTCTGCTTTTTCTAACCTTTATGGTAAACCCGGTCTTAGATCCTGTCCTTAGACGTCTTCTGCTAATGTCAACAGACTATTGAACAGCTGGATCTGAGAGCATCCTTACAAAACAGAAAGCATCGGACTTCCGCTTACTACAAATAGGTACAAAAAAGACACCTGCTTTGTACATTTTAGGAAATTCCAAAGAAATGTGACAATGAAAAATCAAATTTGAATGCTGTTTTGCTTCCAGCATTTACTCTCAAATTTTTTTACTATTTCTTTTTAATAAAAAAAGGACATTTGGGGCCTTGAAAAGGAAAAAACGAAAGGCCAAGGAGGGCCGGCCGAGTGGCACGATGGTTAAGAACTGGCTTGGGACGCCAGAGGGCCCCGGTTCGGATCCCACATATGGGGGCCAGTGACACTGCCCTCCACAGCTAAGATCCTGAACAACAGCTCAACCTGGAGCTGGGCTGCCGTGAGTCGCCTGCGACGGCAGAGGCTGCAGCCCCTGTGGCAGTGGGTTGCCATGGGCTGCCGTGTGTAGCCAGCAGCCAGCGTGAGCGGCCAGCAGCCAGCGTGAGCGGCCAGCAGCCGCAGTGAGCGGCCGTCCAGAAGCCGGTGACTGATCTGCCTCACCTGGGAAGAGTGCAATGATGGTGCCAACTTGGGCCAGTGAAGCAACGTCCTCCACAACTAGACTGAAGAACAAAACGACAGCAACTTGTCTGTTCCCCTTCCCCCAATTCCCCAGCACTGTTCCCATCCCCCCAATTCCCCAATAAAAATCTTTAAAAAAAAAAGGGCCAAGGACTCCACAAACAGAGCGAGGGTAAAGTCCTTTGATGAGAGAAAATGGGATGGCCACAAAACAGGTATTTTTCAGACACGTACAGAAACCTTCATAAACTAGGAGACCTCTCTCTCTTCCTATTACCATTTAGAACAGACATCCACTTTCAGGACCTGGCGCCTGGCTTTGTGACAGTGACCACAGGATGGAGCCTGGGACAGCCTGGGATGGAGTATAAGTAATCAGGCGTCAGAATAAAACCACAAAAGTGAAAAGCAGCATTTGTGCATCTATCGCTCATGAAATATGTAATGCTGCTGGAACAACTAAACTGTAATTTTGTTTTTCTTTCTTTTTTTTAAGAAATTATTGGGGAATTGAGGGAGGGGAACAGCGCTGGGGAATCAAGGAAGGGGAACAGACAAGTTGCTGTCCTTTTGTTCTTCAGTCTAGTTGTGGAGGACGTTGCTTCACTGGCCCAAGTTGGTGTTATGATCATTGTGCTCTTCCCGGGTGACGGCCTGGAGTGCCTTGGACGGCCGCTCATGGTGGCTCTTGGCCACTCATGCTGGCTGCCAGCCACTCACACCAGCTGCCAGCCACTCACGGTAGCTTAAGGCAGCCCACTGCAGCCCCACTGCAGCCTACGCCATCACCGGCAACTCACCGCAGCCCAGCTCCAGGTTGAGCTGTTGTTCACCATCTTAACTGTAGAGGGTGCAGCGTCACTGGCCCTAATGTGGATTCCGAACCCACAGCTGCTCAGAGCTGGCGTCCCAAGCCAACTCTTAACCAATGCGCCACTCGGCCGGCCCAAAACTGCAATTTTTGAGAGGGGAAAAGTGGCCTTACTTTGTGTCAGATAGCCTGAGTGGGCAGTGCACAGCCCCGCGTATTAGAGCACCAAAATGGGATAGCATAACAGTGAAGAACACGGCCCCATGTCGCACTGGCTGGGCTTGAATCCTAGCTCCCCACTCACTCGCAGCAAAACACTTTTCTAAGCCTCAGTTTGCTCCCTGAAAACTCACCTGCCTCATGGGGTTGCTCTGAGAATTCAATTCAATAAAAACATAAGCAAAATGCTTAGCACAGCGCTGGGCGCACAGTAAAAAGTGGGTAAAAAGCCAGTTCTCCCTCCCCGTCATGACCCCATTACCTCGGTCAAATAGCCAGTCGAGTTCACGAACTTCTCAAATTCAGCGTTGCTGACTTCATAGGCGTCCATGTAAAAGGCATCGATGGTGACCGTCCTCGCGGGCGCCTCCCCGTCTTGCTTTATCTGAGGGTCATCCGTGCCCATGGTAAACACGCCGGCTGGGATGGGGACCATCTGCAGGGAGAGGGGACCGGGGAGTCACGCCACAGGGCCAGACTGCACCTGTGTGAAGCTCAGACCCCCTGGCACCCAGGAAGCACCCAGGAATCAGCAAACACCAAGCACAGAAATCACTGTCAGATGAGTCAGATCACTCCATGCTCCAAAGGAAGGAAGGCCTAGTAGCAAAAAGTACAAATTCTTTAGAAAAGTAGTTTCGTTAGTCAAAACTCTACGTGGTAGATGAAAACATGTGTCCACAAAAAGGCATGCGCGCAATTGTTCACAGCGGCATACTCCTAATCGCCAAAAAGCAGGCACAACTCAATTGTCCATCGAATGATGAATGGATCAACAAAACGTGCTATGTCCATGCAATGGAATACTATTGGGCCAGAAAAAGGAATGAGGTGCCAGTACACGCTACAAACGGATGAACCTTGAAAACATTCCGCTGAGTGGAATGAATCCACACACAAAGGCCACATACTGTACGAGTCCATTCACATCAAATGCCCAGAACAGGTGAACCCAAAGAGACAGAAACAGAGGTGAGGATGGGGAATGACTGCTGAAGGGTACAGGGGTTCTTTGGGGCATTATGACATGTTCCGGAACTAGTGATGATGGCTGTGACACTGTGTGACTATACTAAAAACCACTGAATAGTAGACTTTGGAAAGGTGGATTTTGTGGTATGTCATCGATCTCAATTTTTAAAAAAACACATAATCATACCATCTGTCAGAAATATACTGTGCAGACACGTGTTACTTTCTATTCATTTGAATGAGAAGTCAACTAACTGACTTCTCAGCGGCTTAAGAATGGTCAAATCTCTGGCCTAGAAAACAAGGTTCAAATTAAGAAAGGAAATAAAAGAAACCAAAGGGGATAACGAGTGGGAATAAAGAGAGAGAATGCAGCTTAGTCGTAACAGCAGAAGAGTTAGGAAACCAAGACCAGAAGACACAGGCGTGAGCCATCCACAGCCTTTGGTTCCTACTCCCGTTTGCACCGACTGTCTCTGCGGGTGGGTCCCTTCAATGCTGTGCATGTATTTCCCAATGAAAATGGAGCTCTTTGCATCTGTGACATACGGGCAATAAATGTCCTATTGTTTGTCCAGGGTGTTACCATCATTCTAAGAATTCACAGGAACCTAGGTAGATCCCAGGCTCCTACAGAAATAAAGTTTGCGTTTCTATATCCCTAGCACCTCGCATGGTGCATCGTTCACGGCAGACACTGAAAAAAGAAAAGAAATGTTATTGACTGAACAAGTGAGGTCATGAATATAATGAGGGACTTATCATTTGAATTACTCAAGTTTGTAACAACAAAAATTCCACATCTTTGCTAGCACATGTCTGCTTCACAGACTCCTTGAGGACGGAACCACGTCCACACGTTATTCTCGTTAATTCCCCAAGGGTCTGGGGCACAAGGTTCCTCAGCCCTCAGAGGTCAGGGTCTTCTTACGCAGCTCTGCAAAGCAGCAGAAAAACAGGCCTCAGACCAAAGCTTTCAGTGCAGCCTAAAGATGATTATTAAAATGAGCCAATGGAAGGTTTCATAAAGACTTAGAAAAAAAACAAAAGCTTCCGGGCAGCAGACGTGACATGTGGGTCCTGCTCTGAGGACAGGTGTTCACCCCTCGGCCCCAGGAAGCTCTGCCCGCTGTACCTGGAGAGCCTTCCGGCGACCTCATGTCTCATCCACGTCTCCCTCAGGTGAGTGAGCACCAGCAGGGCTAAGACAATCACGTCTTCCCCGTGGGCTCCTGGCCTCGTTTTGTCTTTTTGTCTTTTATTTTTGCTCCTTTCATTAACCATCAGAGATGCCAGCCCTGAATAGGCCAAGTTTCCAGTCTGGAAGCTATAGATAAAAATAGCCCGCACTGCTCTGCATGGGTCCTCATTTCCCATTTATACTAATGAAGTGAGGTTTCCTGTCGTGCAAATATGAATGCCATTGCAGTGAAATCCAGCACATCAGGTGCCTCCCTCCAGGGGACCTTAAGCCGGGTAAAAAGAATCAATTTAACCAAGGCTTCACAGAAGGTCCAGTCAAACAACCCACTGCTCCTCGAAAGCAAGTTCTAACACCTCTGCCACCCCAGTTTCTGCCACTGCCACTCAAGCCACAGGTGCAGGCGACATCAACAATGACTAGACCTGTATCTGGGCTGCACACTCCTGCCAGGTGCAGTGGGTACCTACTACTTTTACCCACCCAGCACCAAATCCACCTGTAAAAGCCCCTGGCATGCCTTTGTTTTATTTTGCTTTTATTTTATTATTATTATTATTATTATTATTATTAGTTTCAGGTGTACAAAACAATGCACTAGTTATCCTTTTCACCCCTCACAAAGTGACAACCCCCTCCCCTATCCACTGTCCTCCCACCCCCAATATCATACATATCTATTACAATTCCATTGACTCCATTCCCACAGTATACGCCACATCCCATGACTATATATGTATTACATTATAGTTGACATATAATGTTATTCATCGGCAGCTTCAGGTGCGCAGTGCAATGGTCAGGCCGCTGCACTGTCCATGAAGTGCCTGACACCCCTTTGAAAACGTCTTCCGCTGTGTAAGGACTTGTGTCTCGGGTGGATGACTCTACCCCACCTCTTGTGACTCAGGCCTGGCCAATCACGGCATTCTTCTAGCCACAGACGTATAATTAAGGACAAGCCCATGACCCAGTCAAGTTCATGAGAACTTTTGCTGGAGCTGTGAGAAAAGAACTTTCTTTTCCAGCTATTTACCCAAAGGAGTAGGGACAGTACCTGAACATGAAGCCAACTCAGGGACAGCCACAAAGAGAGACCTGGAGGTGCCGCCTGAGGCCCCGGGTCCAGCTGTCTCTGAGGCCATATCTGCTCTTGAACTCCCAGCTCCAGGAGCCCACAGATGTCCTCTCCCACCTCTTTCCTGCTTAAGCCAGTTTTGTCTTTTCTTTCACTTGCTCCTGAGACTTTTGTCTTACACACAAAGATGAATTAAGTTTACCTGCAACTTGTTTGTATGGCTCTTCTCCTTTTCCTTTCTTTCCTCTGCTCAACCTAACCACCTAAAAAGCTAAAGGCTCAGGAGAAAGCCAGGTGAATAACAACAGAAGCATGCTCCCTGGATCGGAGCATGAACTGTGGCCTCATCTGTCTGTACAGGGCTTATCTACCTACACTGTTCTCTCCCTCCATCGCCTGCACAGACAGACGCTAACACAGATGGGATGGCATCAGAGTTTCCTCAAGCCCTGGGGTTATGCTTCCATTCAGCCCTAGGTGCCTCACCTATAAAGTGGGAGATAATTATTCTCACTGGATTCTTGGGAGGATGAGACACAGCTAAAGAATATTCTACAAAAGTGTCTTTAAAAAGTATCTGATACCCTTTAGTCTCAATATTGTAACTAACCATACACAAAAATGTAACTAATCATTCAAGAATTGTTACAGAATGCCTAAAATGTGAAGGCACTTGGGGGATACAGAGATTCAAGCAGGTCTAAAAATGCTTCCCATGTAGAATGAGATATCAGACAACTACACAAATAACGTAACATAAAAGAAAATATACAGGTTGCCATCAGACAACAACAAAATGCTGTAAGAATTTAGAGGAGAGAAAACCAGTACATCTTCCTGGAGAGAAGGTTTCATGGAAGAGATGGCAATCAAAGCATGCCTTGACACTTGGGTAAGCATGGCCCGATAAGAAACATCCTCAGACAGGACACAGAGGCTGAAATCACCCAAACATACACAGACACTACGTACAATTTTATCATCCATCATTCTAAATGCCTTTCCAACAACTGTTTTGAAAGATACATGAACATTAAAATATTTTGCTACTTTGTTACAAAATAATAAGCTATGTAGAAAATTGTTGCGATCGTTTTCTCAATGAGGGCTGTATACTTTTTTAACCAGAGGGAGCTTAAGTAAAATTTTTAAATATCTACATTGTTTCCCAGACAATTTTTACTGCCATAACTTTCCAGTGAAACTGCAAATTCCTTGAAGGTAAAGTCCAGTGCTATTTATTGGGTTGTCAGAAAAGTCATGATGCATTTTTGCAACGAGAAACAGAGAAAAAATATATCTTGACTTTTCTGACAACTTAATATTTGTGTCCCTCATCTCGCCATGTGTTCATTAAATGAATATACAAAACAAGACACACCTGAAGTGTTACACTTAAAAGTGTGAAATGTTGCCCCCAGAACTATACTTGTTTCCGTTTCCCGGAACACACCATGCACTGGCACAATGCTTTGTGACCATGCCATTCTCCTTCCTGGAATGTCCTTCTATCTGCCCATCCATCCCTAGCTCCTGACAATGTCTCCCCCAAGGCGCAGCTCAAATGTGACCTTTACTTTGAAGCACTTCCTGAATTGTCCAGGAAAAAAATGGATCCTTTCTTCCTCTCCAAGTGCTTTGTACACACTCCTTCTATAGTACTGTCACTTTAGAAAAATGATGCTTCCATGCAATGAGAGAGAGAGAGAGAGAGAGAGAGAGAGAGAGAGAGAGAGAGGACTTCCAGAGGGTAAATGCCTTGAGAGCAGGGCATAAATCTTTTCTTTATGCTCAGGATATAGGACAGTTCTATGTAATATGTATGCTAAATAAACATTGATTGAATTAAACTAAATAAACAGAAAACAAAGAAAAAATAGATTCAATACAATCTCAATCAAAATTCCAGAAAGTTATTTAATGGATATCAACAAACTGGTTGCAAAGTTTATAAGGAGAGGCAAAAGGCCCAGAATAGCCAACTCAATACAGAAGGAGAAGAACAAAGCTGGAGGACTGACAGTACCTGACTCCAAGACTTACTATAAAGCTATGGCTTTATATATAATCAAGACATAATATATAATCTATAATATATAATCAAGACAGTGTGGGGTTGGAGAAAGAAGGGACAAATAGATCAATGGAACAGACTAAAGAGCACAGAAATAGACCCACGTAAATACAGGAAACTGATCTTTGACAAAGGAGCACAGGCAATTCAATGGCGCAAAGACAGTCTCTTCAACGATGGTGCTGGGACAAGTGGACATTCACATTCAAGAAAAGAGTCTAGACACAGGCCTTACACCCTGCACAAAAATTAACTCAAAATGGAGCACTGACCAAAATGTGAAACATCAAACTCCTAGTAAATAACAAAGGGGAAAACCATGATGACTTTGGGTATCAAGATAAAACATCAAAGTCACCATCCATGAAAGACATTGCTAAACTGAACTTCATTAAAATTAAAAACTTCTGCTCTTCAAAAGACAATGTCAAGAGAATGAGAAAACAAGTCACAGGATGGTAGAAAATATTGCAGAAGACACATCTGATAAAGGACTATCATCTGAAATAGACAAAGAACTCTTAAAACTCAACAATAAGAAAACAAGCAATTCTATTTAAAAAGGGGCAAAGAACCTTAACAGACAACTCACCAAACACATACAGATGGCAACAATGCTCCACATCACACGTCAACCAAAACTGCAAATCAAAACAATAAGCTACCGCTACATTGCTATTACAACAGCCAACATCAGGAACCCTGACAACACCAATGCTAGCGAAGTGGAGAGCAACAGGAACTCTCATACATTGCTGGTGGGCATGCAAAATGGGACAACTTAGTGGTTTCTTATAAATTAAGTTCACTCTTGCCATTTGATCCAGCAATCAGACTCCTTGGTATTTAACCTAAGGAATTGAAAACTTAGGTCCACACAAAACCTGCACACGAATGTTTATAGCAGCTTTACTTATAACTTGCAAAACTTGGAAGCAAGCAAGATACCTTTCAGTAGGTGACTGGAAAAATAAACTGTGACTTGTACATCCAAACAAGGGAATGTTATTCAGCAACCAAATGAAATACGTAAGATATCAAGCCATGAAAACACATGGAGGAAACTTAAATGCATACGACAAAGTGAAAAGAGCCCAGCAGAAAAGGCCGCACACTGTATGCTTCCAACTATTCATTCTGGAAAAGGCAGAACTATGGAGACAATAAAAAGATCAGTAGTTGCCAGTGGGGAGGAGAGGATTAGGCAGATCACAGAGGATTTTTAGGGCAGTGAAAATACTTTGTATGATACTATAGTGATGGATACATGTCATTTACACATTTGTCCAAACCCATAAAATGAACACCACCAAGAGTGAACCATAAAGAAAACT